TCTATAAAGTTATTATTTGTTTAATGACTTAGAATTTTGAAGCAAACATAACAACAAATCGACTAAACTTTCAAATATAAACTCCAAAAACAAAAATTATATTGATTTTCATTTTAAAACTCCCTTTAAATAAATCTATTAAAATATGTTTTTGGAATAAAAGCTATTTATTAATTTCATAAACTTTATTATAGAAAAATTACTTTTTTATTTTATAAATATTTATATTAATTAGAATACAAGTTATTATTAATTAATAATGTGATATATTTAAAACTTATATACTATACTATAAATTATAGTATAGTCTATACTTTAATCTAATAAAATTTAATCTTCTAATTCAGATATTTAATGTATTTATACTGAAATATTATTTAAATAATTAATATCTATTGTGAGTTAGATGTAATATATTTAATTTAATAAACTGGTATTTTATTTTTATGCTAAAATATCTATAAGTAAAGAAAATAAATTTAATAAAAAATAATTTCTTTAGATTAAGAAGATTTAGCCCAAGAATTCAATGAATTTGTTGTCACAATTGAAAGTTTGTGTTATTTTAATGAATTGTTTCTCATAACGAGTGTCATATGAGAGTCAGCCAATACACTGGTGTCACATATATTATTATAACTTAATTTCAACATAAAATGCTAAGCCTTATCCTTTTAGTGGCAATAACTTTCAATCCAAATCATAACATATATTGCCTGAACATCTTATTGACCATAAATTTGTTATATCTATATATTGTATAATGTAATATAAATTATAGTATATACATATATATATATATATAGTATATATCATATAACACATGTATTTGGATTTGTTGTCTATTAATCATATTTTCAGCCGACAGGTTGACCAACAAACTTAAAGCCTATACTATTTATTTATTTTTCTATCGTATTAGTTCTTAATGACTATTTGTATGTTTTTTTTTGGATTTGTTGCAAAACATCTAATTTATATAAATTTATATATATATTATTTTGTTTATAAATTTGTTTAATCACATGTTACTAACAAATAAAAGCAGTCAAACACTAAATTACTTATATATGTATGTTGTTGTGATTGTTGTTGATGTTTAAGTATTAACTAATATACTCTATATTTGGCATCTTTTTAATGTTTAAGAATACAAATCTACTAAAGTATTGATTTTACATTATAATAATACTTATATATCTATAAATCTATATAAGATATATACGGTATTACAAAGTCTGTGAATATACTGTACAATGAATATATCAGTATATATATAATAAATATATAAAACACTAGTTGTTTGATAAACAATTATTGTTTGTTTAATTGTTTTATAATAATTTCGCTATATATTAAGTTATTGTTGTTTAACTACACTAAAAACAATATTAAAAATTTTAAGTTAAATTTAATATAGTTATTACAATTATATCTTACAATTATATATTATATTATATCTTATATCTTAAATCATAAAATATTATTAATAGACCCAAAACTTATTAGACATTAAACCACTGAATATGAATCTCGAGTGTTACACCTATAATGTTATTATTATATATTATTTGCTACAAAACCACATATAACCAAAATTATTAATATCTCTATTAATGTTTAATTATTCATAGATTTATTGAACAAAAAAAATAGTACAACATTTTGGCAAAAGCTTTATGTCAACTATAAGTGAAATGAGTAAATCATAAATACACTGCTTTTAATACATTTTATGTCACTTAAAAGTTTAAATTTGAGTAATATTATGTAATGCTTTAGCAAGGTACTTTATATAACTTACCTAATATAAGGTTACTTTATACTAAGTTATCTTGCTAAGCGTAAAGTTAACTGTACATGATATTACTCAAATTTAAACTTTTAATTGGCATTATCTGTATATACACTGTATAATGATATTTAATAATCATTGAATTTATATAAAATTAATGTAATACAATATACTTTACAAATAATTTAATATTAATTACTGTATATTTAATTAACATATAATATATTACACATTACAATCTATCGGTCAGTAATTGGTAGAGTTGGCACAAAAAAAAATCTAAATTAATAGAGATTTTCCTGAAAAGTTTCTAAAAAAATTCTGTTTATGGGATCCCATATTAATTTTGTTCTTCTCTTGATATTTGTTATTTTGAAACAATTCATTATAGCTATAAATATTAACTAAATTTTATTATTAGTATTTTAATTAATATTCAAAGTAAAAAAATAATTCATTTAATTACATTAAACTAAAAGTATAAATAAATTATAAATAAAATTTTACAAAATCTATAATTATTATTAGATAATTATATTAATTTTATAAATAAGAATCCCATTAATATACAGTAGTAGTGTGTGGTGTATATTATCTATCATTAGTACACTATCACAATAGCTATAGATATGGAGATCCCATAATATAATAATAAAGTTAAATTTTTATAGAAATTTATTCCTAAGAAACTTTCTAGAAATTTTCTTAGAAAATTTCTATTTGCCTATATCTAGTCATTGGTATTAATTATCCGATGAGTGAATGTCGCGGAAAATTATTTTCAGTCAGTTTTCTTCATCTCTTGTATGGCTTAAACTGAAATCTCAAATATAATGCATTCATTTGAGATAAAACAGACATATTTCGTGGTTCTGTCAGTTATGACTACAATATAGTGTTATTTCTAACACTTCATGCATTACTGTCTCTACATAACAGTACTTACTGTATAACTGATTGTATTAAATCTAACCATTCATTTTATCTCTCTCTCTCTCTTTCTCTCTCTCTCTCTCTCTCTTCCTCCCTCTCTCTCTCTCTCTCTCTCTCTCTCTCTCTCTCTCTCTCTCTCTCTCTCTCTCTCTCTCTCTCTCTCTCTCTCTCTCTACTTATAATTATATTGTTTCTCAAAACATTTGTTTTTCTAAATTATTGCTTGTGTGATCACATATTCAATTATATGGAGTGACCTTTAAATACATAGTATTAATAGTTTTCAATTATTTTTATGGCAATACTATTAATTGATTTTTATATTTGATTTAACAACAATTTCCAAATATTGCAATTCTATATGAAAATAAACATTGTCTTCTAAGTTATAGCTTAAACAGATATGTTATTTTTATATAAATGAGTTAATGAATTAATGCTTGAATAAGTTAAACAAATATATTCATATATAAACTCAAATAGTTAATTGCTATTCTTGATATATATAATGAATATAATATAAATTATATTTAAGTATATATAAAGTATAATGATATAATATTAAATCAATCCTATTTAGTAATTAATTTAATCACTAATTGATATCAAGCATTATTTGTTCAATCTATACATCTAATACTATATATATAACTCATAATATATAACATTTATAGTTCAGGTAATTTGACACTCACTGTCCACTTAATGCAAGTATAATATTGATATAAGAATATTCTGTTTCACATTTATAAAGCATATAATTATTTGCGTAAATCAAATGTTATTTTGTTTATTCAATAATTTCAATTTGTTTTTTATTTTACAAAAAAAATAAAATATTTATAATTGAAAATTAATTTAGCATAATTTAACATAAAATAGTTTTATAATCAATTATTTTAATTTTACAAAACAAGTAGAAAATAATGATATATTTTGCAAATAAAATTTTGTTAAAATAACTTTTTATAATTAAGAGTAAAATTAGGTAAACAGAAGCTTATGAGTAATAGTTTATTTGTGCTTGATTAAATTGTATAGTATTTAACAATATTAATATAAATTTATGTATCAATTTAGCACAAATTGATACATAAGTCAAGCAAAAAAAAACATTACTTAAACTTCATTTAAAAACATATATATTTTTAATTAAATTACTGTTTTTTAAATGTTTTGCAAAATTTTATTTACACCCTATTATATCACTTATTTATATTAACAATAAAACATAAAGATATAGAAATTGTTAAAACAATATTAACAAACAATATAATCATTTTATTTATGCGTTATTTACATTAGTCGTTTAGTTGAATAATGATTTTTTATCTTTTATATTTTTTGCATACATAAATTATTATTTATAAAAGTACTTATAAATTGTAAATTTTGTATTTTATATATATTTAAAGTATTTATAAACTCTTAATATTTAAATAAATAAATATTTTTGTTAATTCCTTTAAACCATAATTAGTTATTTTTAAACTTTTACTGTATAAAAATTTATTATTATAACTTTATGATTGTTTGAAAAATATTATTCAACTATATATTTATTTACTTACATCGGTATATTATGAAGTATTTATTTTTTAAAACAAACTTTTAAATTTCAATAATATTTAGAGTATACTATTTATTTAAAATTACTTAACAGTCTATAAGATAAACAAAATCTATAAATAAATAATTGAAATATTTAAAATTTAGTATTTTTCTATAGTATTGTCATTAATATTAATAGCCTATTTTAGTTAAATTTACATAATTTTGCTAAACTACAGTATATTTTCATATATTTTATATTTTACATATGTATAATAAATAGAAACAAATAAATTTATTTAAAGTATATTGTATTACCGTATAATTATTAAGTAAATATATATTGAATTATGTAATTCATACTAATAAGTGAACTGTATTATCAAAAGCATTTATATAAACATTATTTTTCATTTGCACTGTTGTATAGTACTGTTTATTATTACATGTAAAATATTTTATTTCTAGTTTATTTATAGTAAGTACCTATTACACAATATAAAAACAACATTATAATTTTATATATTAATATACTATAGTATGTAATATAGTATATTATAGAGTATAATATATATATATACTGTATATATTAATACTTGGTTTTTTATACATTGATACTACTTTTATTGATTTTTAATTATATTTAATTCTAATTTTATTAGAAATATGTTTAATTATTGATAAACAGTATATACTTTTAACATGTAATTTATATTTACAGCAAATGTTTGATACATCAAAGCGAATCAGTTTAGACCCTCCAATCTGGTCATTAGCCGATGCCGTATATGAGATGCTAAAGATTCAGCACTGGTTTGATGCCATACTTTTAATTGATGACTCCGTGACCTCCGATATGTTTAGCTATCGGCTCAGTCATCTCTGTAAAGTTAACAGAAATGGCCAGATCACCAATCAGGTCATCTCAGCAAATACTTTCAATAATATGTATGTCGACACAAAACTATGGCAAAAACCGATGACAATATTGTTTCCCAGAGGTCTTAAACAACGAGATGTAAGTTTATAATCACAATTCAAAGCCATTAAACAAACCATAACAACCATCAATGCATTATATAACATAAATATCTCTTTTTTTTATAAATCTTTTTTTTTGTTAATTTTCTTATCTTTGTCCTCAAGGGTGCGGTTCTTCCGGGAATATTACATTAATTTAAGAAAATTTAACATAAACTGATAATTAGTGTGACAGTGATTAAATTAAATATATAGTATATAAATGACATTAATTAAAATAAAATAACTTTTAATAGAAAATTTTTACATTATTTAATATTTAATATAAAAAAAATAATATTTATTTTATTTTATACTGACAATAATATTGTATTATGGTATTTCATAATTTTTTAAAAATGTTTAATTGAATCACATTTATTGAATTGAATAGTCAAACATCAAATATAATTTTCAAATATTAATAAAATCAAATCAGTGTTTTAAACTGATTGCCACTCAAGAGGTTTGTCATCCAAATGACAGAAATGGCTTTTATTTAGACATTTTAACGAATTAGTTCTCATGTGAAACAAATATAACACTTTGATTCATACAATTACTATAGTTTTAGTCAATATGTTTCTCATTTCAATCAATTAAACATAACTTATTGCCTTTCTTTAACCCAAAATGTTATTATGAGAGAAAACAATTGAAGCGAAAAGCAATATATTGTTTGCCTTATTTGAGATTTAAAAATATAAGAAATTACTCTTTTAAAGTTATTTACTTTTTATTTTTACTAATTTTTTTGCTCATTTTATGCTGATATTGCTATAATAAATTACATTTAAATTTTAAGCAATATTTTTTTAATTTAAACTTATATTTTTAAGTGTTTTTTGGAGTATTTTACCTAAATATAATATTGTATTATAATTTATATATTGTTATTATTTTCTATTAATTGCAAACTTAATGTTTATTTGAATAGTTTTATTTAAAAATGGCCGAAATCCAGACCAGTCACCGACGGATTATATTAGTTCACTGCAATCGTATGACAAGTGCTCGCATTGTCAACACTGCCAGAAGTTTAGGACTTCTCGAGGGAAATAAGATATGGATTTTATTGGACGGACAAATCGGATCACAAGAAATCACGTCATCTTCTTTAAGACAATTTCTCGATCTTCCCAATGGTATGATTGCTTTAAGACATCGCACACAACATCACAATGATATCAAAACATTGACTGCAATCATACAATTGATTGGACGCACGGCCTCAAGTGTATACAGGAATTCTCGTTTTTGGCTCAATAACAATGATAACAGAAATGTATCGGCACCGGGAGTTAATTGTTGGCACTCTATATCTAACAACAAAAAGAAATTTAACGAAGTTGTCTATAGGTATAAATTATATCTAAATTATATTCAACTATTAGTGTAAAAAAAACTTTTAAGTATTACTTTAGAAATTATAAAGTAGTTAAAAGAAACTCATAAATAATAAATAAAATACTATCTAATTTATTTTATAATAAATAAATATTAATTTTCTTAATTACAATTATCAATATATAATATTTTATAGCTAATGTTTTTGCAAAATGTGGAAAGAGTCTTAAACAGCGGCGGCGGCGATGCTATTAATTACAATTATCTGGTCAACAATATGTTTCACTTAAAAATGACCAAGGGCAATGTTGTAGATAATTTTAAGCTGGATAAGATTATAATTAGTCATTTTTTAATTAATTGTATGATTTTCCAGATAATTGCAGTCGACTATCATTTATACATTTTTTAAACAATCGACTATAAATTATCTGGTCAATCATACAATAAGTTAAAAAATGACCAATTACAATTTTATTCAGTTTAAAAGTATCTACAACATTGCCCTTGGTCACTTTTAAATCCACATATTGTTGACCAGATAATTGTAATTAATAGAATCGCCGTTATTATCGCCGCCACCGCTGTTTAAGACTCTCTGCAAAATGTGTGTCATTTATGTTTAATTTAAATTAAAATTAATATAATGTATATTCAAATTTTATAATTTATATACAGTGCATAAATTTAATTCAAAATATATAACAATACAGAATATAAAAAAATAATTATTAATATATTTTAAAACTAATTTAAAAATTATAATTTATCTAATAAATATCAATTAAACTTTCATAACATGATTTTTTACAACAATTTAAATAATATATTAATATTAATAATTGCTATGAAAACTTACATCGAAAAATTTTATAGAAATTTTCACAGAAAATTTGTAACAAGTTTCTATTTTATATCTATAGTTATAGTCAATAAAATATATTTTTAATTTATTAAATTAACTCAATAAACAACTCAATTTACTTGTTTTATTATCACATTAATTGATTCATAGGTTTTATAGCTTTGAAAATATAACACTAAATAACAAAGAAATGGTTAAAGTTTTTTATATAAAAATGAATCAAATAAGAAATAACTCATAAAATGTAGAGAAATAACATATAGTTTACTCTAATAATACATTTGATATAAAAATATATAAAAACTATTTTCTTAAATAATTCTTTTTATGACAAACTGGTAGTGATGTTAACGTTTTAAAAGTTATCATTTGATTTCTCTTAAGTTAACTTTACTTAAAATAGTTTTGAATTTGAGTGCATTAAATGTTAGGCATCACTGAACTAAATGGAGAAATAGTCTCTCTCTCTCTCTCTCTCTCTCTCTCTCTCTCTCTCTCTCTCTCTCTCTTTCCACATTTTATGTCTTATTACAGAAATTAACATATTATTAATTTTAATATATTTTTAAATATATTTCAATAATAGTAGAAATATTTATGGTTGAATGATCCTTAAATAATATACCAAATAATTTGAATGTAATTGTAATGATTTTGTAAAAATTAAATATTTTATTGATTTTTATTTAAACAAAAATAATTCTAAAGTCAATCTTTAGTCAAAAACTAAATCTTAATAAAATATACAATATTTCAATTTTTATACTGTTTTGACATTTTATACTCTCATTTGAATTATACTGTATGTTGTTTTATATATTCAGGTAATTAATTCAATACTTATTAATATCCTAGTATTTTGATGTCAATTACTAATAATTTTGCATTTTTAGTATTTATTATTAAAATAAAATTAACATTATATTTACATTAAACTAAAAACAAAAAATTAAATTAATTTAATATTAAATATATAGTAATATTATATTTTCAATAGTTTATAACTTGTGTTTATGACTGTTATACTGTATAACGTACAGTATTTTATAGTAGTAACTTACAATACAATAGTTTTGTATTTTTAGTTAAACAAAAAAATGTTTTTTATTTAGTTTATATTGTTTTATGTATGAATTGTGTAAAGTATTTATTTAAATTTGTTTTGTGTGTCTGTCCTCTCAAATGTTCACTAAATGTATGTTTTGTGTATAATGTTTGTCCACAAAGTTAATATTATCCCTAATATTGTTTTTATTGACTAACATTTTTCTACGTCAAAAATGTCGACAATAAGGGCAAACAATTTATTAACAAAATAATAATAATAAGCTTTAAATCCTATTTAAATTACAAGACACACACATACATCTAAAACAATTAAATTAATTGTCTTTAATTGGATATAAAATATTTGATACATGAAAAACTCATCAAATACATTAATTGCAAAATCTAATCTATAGTAACACCATTAGTAACAATATTTGCCCTTATATTTAACAATATTTAAATAAATCATTGATCAATAATTTGGATTTAAAAAAGCTAACAAATGAAAACAAATTTATTACAAACCAATGAATAAAGTTATAAACTGAATAAACAAATTAGTTAATAAAAGTATACAATTGTTTAATTGACAAACAATTCATTGTTTTTTTTGTTATTTTATTTTTAGTTTTAAGTATTAATCAATATTTTTATTTGTTTGAAACATATATAGAGAACTTAAGAGATGGTTGACTCCTTTATCAACAATGAAATCAAATTTTTTATGCAAATTAAGGCGACATATGATAAGTGAAGAGAGCAATGATTTGCTTTCCTTACCGGAAGAGTCTCTCTGGTCATCGCCGGTCTTTGATATCCTTAACTTAGTTCCTGCGGACACATATGTAAAAGACAAGGAGTGGAAAGTCATCGGAAACATAACCAAAGATAACGCCACTATAAATACAATCAGATATATCGGTCACACATCAGATGTTTTTGCCACTGGAAAGCATAGATTCAGAATCGCTACTAATATCGCGCCGCCGTTTGTCATCGGATCCACTAAATTGGACAACAATTCATGTCTTACCGGAGATTTCTGCCTTAAAGTTTGTATTCAATAAAAAATTATATAATATATATATATATATACCGTATATATACAGTCTATAATATAGACTCTATATGTTACTTCAGATCATATTTACTTTAATTTCTTAATAATTATTAATTATTTTAACTTTTTCATAGTTTGATATCTACTTAAGTTTCATACATTCATATAACACTAAAAATCTTAATCATTTGATAGACTAATTACAGATAATTAATCTATATTATATATATATACACTTTATAAAATTAGTTTACAATTAATTTCGACCAAAACTTATTTATAACAAATTATAAGCAATTATGTTAAAAATGCATATATCGTAATAAATTTACTATTGAAAACTCTAAAATTCCCTAAAAATGTTTGTTTACTGTAAAATTATATTTTCTTAAATAAATTTGATATTTTTTAAATCCTAAGAAGTTATATCTCTAGCGATCACTTAAAGATTTTTGATGTAATATTTGGTTTATTACTTAAAGTGATTTAGTTTCACTTGAATTGTTAGTCAAATTAATAATTTAGTTTTTATACATATAAAAATTAACATATTTATAATTTACTACAGTATATCCCATTTTTATATTTCTAATACTAGCATCTTTACTTTAAATATTATAAATAATTTTTAATATGTTAATTAGTAAAACTGTATTGAATTTGTCATACAATACAGTACACACAGACAATAAATTGTATTTTTACATTATATTACTTTTAATACTGAATTGCTGTTACAATTAGTGTATGTGTGTTGTCTCACAATTACTATTTGTCATTATATATAATAGTGTGACATCCGTTTCAATGCCACTCAATTTATACAAAATTTTACAATTTTATAACCACTATTTTTTACAACATATTTAATCATTTTATAAACCATTAACTGACAGTTAAGCTTAACATTACTTTATCTAACTTCTATGTATTTAAGCCATTGATTTATGAACTTAGATGGATAGACATTAGTCGCTTTTAGACAATAATCAAATTAAGCCAGGCACAATTTTATATAAGAATTTCTATTACTATTATTATTTTTACACAAAATTTACAGTATTTTAAGATTATAAATAATAATTTTGTTATATTTATTATTAATAGTAGTATTTGAATTATTTAAAAATACATAATAAGTTAAATCGAGATAATAATAAAATTAGTTAATTAAATAATTTCAATATTTATTTACTTTATATAATAGTCCTGAATGTTATTATTATTATTGTTATATTAATATTTATACCAATAATTAATGAATAAATTAATTTTAGGTCAAAACCAATATTCGCGATGATTTGATTTCAATATTTACTGATTTTCGGTCCAATAAAAGACAATTGGAAGGACAGGCATATGAAGTGCATTGTTGTGCCGGAATATCCATTGATTTGCTCAATGCTGTGGCCAGAGATCTTAACTTTGATTATGATCTTTATTTAGTAGCTGATGGCCTGTTTGGTGTCCGACGCAATGGTCAATGGGACGGCATAACAGCTGATTTAGTCAATGATGTGGCGCATATGAGTTTCACGGCATTTAGCACTACTAGCACTCGTGTTCAGGTTATTACATGTTTAACATTATATTAATTATGACTTCTAATTGATTGAATTTATAGGCCATTGACTATTCGGTGCCATTCTTTTATTCTGGTGTTTCCTGTTTGTCCCGTTCATCCAATTACATGGATGTACCTCTTGAGGCATTTCTAATACCTTTTAGCTATCAGTTATGGTTTGCTATATTTATGAGCCTTTTGGCCACTGCTGTGGCCGCAGCCATATATGAGTGGCTCAGTCCCTTTGGTCTGAATCCATGGGGACGTCAGCGCACAAAAAACTTTAGTTTAGCCTCAGCTCTATGGGTGATGTGTTCGCTACTATTCAGTCATTTAGTGGCCTTCAAAGCACCCAAATCCTGGCCCAATAAGGTATGTATTAATTTCTATTACACGACATCACCATATCTTATATGATAAGGAAGTGATTTTGTGGTTCTTGTTATTAAATCTTTATATAATTGCAAATCTAATCAAATATAAATTTGTGATATAATTTGATATTATAATCAATATCTATGCATTTATATTGTGATAGTTTTATCGACCTAATTCAATTTGCTTGTAATAACATAAATATATCCATAATATTATATGTTTGTATTATTAAGATACTGTACATGTTTTAGTTCATCAAATGACAAATTTGGACAAATAAAAAGTAATAAAAAAAATTTAAAAATTTAAAAATTTTTGGATCATAGTTTTCAGGTCTAATAAAATATATTAAAAGTTAAATTCTTATCATTAATATTATTTTTAATATTAGGTTTGAATTGAATTAAATTAATTGCTATCAAAAATTGAGAAATTATAAAAAATACACAAAGTTAGACACTTGAATTATGTTATAAAACATACTTTTATTAAATAAAAATGATGAATTTTTATACAAATAATCTAACATTTTTTATATTTACATATTTAGCTTTAATACATAACTTACTTAAAAATTGTATTAACAAATTATTTAAAGAAAAATATATTTATATAACATTAAACACATGTCTTATTATATCATTTTTAAAATTCATCTTTCATTAAAATATTTACACAATATTTGATTTGAAAATTTATTCACAAAAGTTTGTTATAATATAATAAAATTGTAAAATTTGTCAATCAATAAATGCAAATTCATGGATACATTACATTATTTTACTTCAATTGTCTGCCAACACATTCAATCGCCAAAAGATATCCAACTCTTGAAATTCGTGTTACGAAAGGTCTCACTGTTTAATGTTTGTTATGGTTTGCGGCGATTCTCGTCTATTATTCACTCAATATATCATATATTATACCAATAAATGAATAGAAAAGTTGATAAGTAAATGAATTTTCGTTTTAATGTTTGATTAACTATATAACTAAACACAAAAACTAATAAAAATAAATCATAAATGATTTGTTTTATATTTTATCACTGAAACAAATAATCCTATATTATTATACTTACAGTAATTAACATAAAAAATTTAAAATAATTTTATTTTTAATTTTATGTCTATATGCAAACTTAGATAAGCTAATTTCTAATTGTTTAAAATAAATTTAATGATTTATACTTATTAATGAACTAATCAATACCAACATTAAAAAAATATATGATAATAATATTTTTAATAATTAATTTAAATACATATAATAAAATTAACTACATTTTTGTAATTATATATACCGTCTATATATCAGGTTTAAGCATGGTGCTGGATTTTAGGGGGTATAGGGTGGGGTAAAATTGAAAAAAATCTCGAAGTATTGGGGGTATAGAGTGGAGTACCTTTTTATTGAATTTTTAAACGACAATTTTTTCAGAATCTCAAAATCAAGGGTCAAATAAAAATTATCTAAAAATTTCTTAAATTCTCAGGAAAATAGGAAAATATTTCCAATAAATTCCTTTATTTATTGAAATATTTTCTTAAATTACTAAAAACTATTAAATTTTGACCAAAAGTAAAAAATTCTGTATTTAACATATTAATCGTTATGATATAAGTTATTATCATTATTTTTATTATCTTAAAATGATTTTTTGTATGTAACACTAACTTTATTGAACAAATAGTTTATTTAAGATTTTAGTTTCATATTTTTAATAAAATAATTTAATATTTAGATTAATTTTAATGTAATTTTAACTATTTTCATTATTTTCATTTAGTCAAAAAGTATGGAGAAGTAAAATTAGAGTTGACAAATAAGAGATATTTATAAAATAATAGAAAACTTTCTAGAAAGTTTCTAAAAGAAATTTCTATCTATGTGATCCCCATGTTAATTTTTTATCTCGATATTTGTTATCATATAAAACTACTTTAAATATTATTATTAGTATTTTAATTATTAATTAAAGTAAAAAATTAATAAATTAAATTAAATTAAACTATGATATATATAATAAAATGATGAATAAAATTTTACAAAACAGATTATTATTAAATAATTATAATTATTTTATATATAGGTATCCCATTTGTATAGTACTATATAATATTATATGTATAGTATTATATCTAATTAATATAGTATTACAATAGCTATAGATATGGGGATCTCATAGTACAGTAAAACAATAAAGTTAAATTTCTATAGAAATTTATTCCTCAGAAATTTATTAGAAACTTTCTATTTGCCCATCTCTAAGTAAAATCCCAAAATCTTGATCTTAGGGGGTAAAATGGCCATACCATATTTTACCCCCTTGCTTACCCTTATATATTATCAGTACTCGGTATTCAGTGTATATTATATTGCATATTTGTAATTTACATAGTATTGAATGTTACAAAAACCGATAGATAACATCAAAAAACAAATATGCAATTTATTCAAAATAAAATTAAAATGCAAAAAAAGTTTACAATTTTAGTATAATTATAAAATTAAATCAATTGCATAGTTTTACTACAAACTTATTATTAATATATAACTAATACTGTATCTTATATTGTTTTTAAGCTATGGTTTATAATAGAGTATATGTTTATTATGTGATTAGCAATAATGATGAATTGATGTTTCAGGAAATATTAAGTTTAATATTTAAGTGTAGATTCTTGTCATTGATTCTCAATTTTATAGTCATTATTATGCATATATTATATTATCTAAAAAATCAATATATGGAAACATCAAATATTTGTTGGTTTAAAATATAAGTTATGAATAATATTTTAGTGATATATATATATATTTATATAAGCGATCATCAGTCAGGAATCACGTTTCAATAATCTCTCTGTAAAATGAATGTCGAGATCAGGGATTAAATTTGGATTTTTTATTTTTGCAACACTAGGTCTTGAATATCAATAGAGTGGTTCACAAATTCAACCCATAATAGCATTGATATCAAAAAAGACATTTATTTAATGAAATATATCTCATATGCATTCAACTTATGAATTATAAATAATAACTTTTTTAAAGACAAACTTTACTGTATATAATTTTTATATGTTTAGAAAGTATTATTGTTTTGAGTTGATATATATATTTAAAAAAGGAAATATTATATAAAAATTATTTTTGAATTGTCTTATATAGGATGACATACAAAATCTCTATATTTTATATATATAGTAGAATATAAAATAAGTTGTATTAAAAACTTGTTATTATGTAGAAATAGTGAGAGATTTAAATAAATCGATTTAGAAGTTCTCAATGTTTTCTTTTATTTTTGTTTTAAATTTTGTTTATATATATATATTTAATGCAATCTTATACTACTATTCTCCAGCAAATATTATATAATATTATATACATTTAAATTTCAATGATTTCAATGTTTTAGTTATGCGACATTTGGTTGATTTAAGTTTAGTATTGAATTTTTGAAAGCAACAAAATCAAACAATTTTGAATAAATAAAAATGTGGCGTATCTTTGATGTTATTATTATTTGTTTTGACATTATTTTTATTAAATTAAATATTATATTTACAGAAAAATTATGTGTAACACATATTAATTTATATTGACAGTAATTATTCAAATCAATACTATGGTTAATATAGCCAGGTTATTCTTATGTTTATCTTTAAAAATATTTTATATTCACTGTTTATTTTTAATTTTATTAAAGATTATGTATTTTAAAATCAAATTATTTTCTATAATTATATTTGCAAATATAATGTGAGTTCATAAAATACAGTTTTTTATAAACAATACAACTAAATTAATATATAATTACAATCATATTATGAATTATTTAAGACCATAGTATTTCTACATTTTTAGTATGCATTTGCGTTAAATTATATTTACTAATACAAGTTTCAGTATTTATATAATAATTAAATTTTCAATTTTTACAATTTTATATTAATATCAAGTAACTGAATCATAAAATAACTTTATATGTGACTCTTAATGAAAGCTAACAATTATAACAATATTTAAAAAATAAAATTTGTATAAATTATGAACAGGTATTGATCAACGTTTGGGGTGCTTTTAGTGTCATATTTTTAGCCACATATACGGCTAATATTGCCGCACACTTTGCCGGTCTCTTCCTTATTCCTGAAGTCAACGATTTTCGTGATTCGAGCGTAAGTTTTATTGTTATTATTAAGTTTTAAAATATTTTTCAAAGATATTTTTGATTTATGTTTTTACTAAAAAAATTTTGTTTTATATCAATTGATTATTGATTGATTGTCCGCAAAATGACTTCTCCAGAAAAGACCACCTCATGTGATATCTTTGCAATTGATTTATATTATCGTTTGCTTTATTTTTTTAATATGAGAATCAATTTATTTAAAAAATAAGATAATAAGTTGCAAAAGCATTTAAAACAAATGTTATATTATATTTAATATTTTAATTAATATATGATTATTATTAATAATGTAGTAATACTTATATAATATTTTAAATAAAATTAATAAAAATAAATGAATTATGCGTTATGTATATTATAAAACAAATATACGCTATATTGTATAGTACATAATATACAGTATATATTGTACATAATTTTTATTTCATTTTGGGACAAAAATATTTGTTATGAACTTAAGGATTAACTGGTTTTACTGTAAATATGATTATATCAATAAATCATTTTTATTTCTTATTGATGTCTATATATAGCTTATGAAACAAAGGACGGGAACCGCCAGAAGTAGTGCATCGGAGGGATATTTAATGGAAAAATATACTGATCTCTGGCATCATATCCAGAGGTGTAACCATTGCAAAGTACACAACTTCACCGAAGGACTCGAACACTTGAGGTTTGTTTTTTTCATATAATTTATTATATATTATAAATGAGTCCATAATTTATAAATAATTACAGAAACGACGATTTGGATGTTCTTATAGGAGATACGGCTATATTAGACTACTTCCGAGCCACTGATCCCTCTTGTAATTTAAAACTATTGGGTGACTCTATCTTTGATGACGCCTATGCTGTGGGAATGCAAAAGGGTTTCCCATTTCGGGTAATAATAATTTTAATAAAAATATAGTTTTGTTTTGTTTTAAATTAACTTAATTTAAATTATATGTAAAAATATTTTAATTAAATTATAATTTCTAATATATCTCTAAATTTACAATTAATTTGTCACATTTAAATAAGCATTTTATTGAATTTTTGTAATTATATTATGTATTAATATTTGTTTAGATAAAAGAAGTCGTATTTAACATAATATTGTATTTTTAAATAATATAAATAATAATATATATATATATCATTAAATTGAAAAATTGCTTAAAATATATTATATATTTAACAAATGTGTTGTATATTTAATAATTATTTAAATTTTGATGAGAGTTTCTTATATTTAATGTTTAACTTCAAAGCACTTATTATTAGTTTTGAAAAAATTACATTAAACATAAATGATAGCCTTTTGTAAGTGTTTATCAATAAAAATGGTAATGAATTTTGTTAAATAAATTTTTGAATTCAATTGATGTGAACTGAGAGCTAAAGAATTGAATTAATAAAATGTTTGCATCCATTGTAAACATCAATTTAACAAAAGAGATTAACAGTTGTTTATTTCATTTCTCATCGGATGGTCTTTGAATTTGAAGTAATTTTTTATTTCTTTGCCAAAAATATATTATATGTGTTATGAAATTCATTATAGATTTTACTATATATGGTATAAGAATAGAGTGTTAATGCAATGAATCATTGGTTCAAATATATATATATAACTTTGTTTAATGTATAAAATGTAGGATTTTTCAGGAATTTGGGTTATTTCCAGAATTTTTTGCCACTATTTTATATTTTACTATTATTTCAATTTTTATTTATACAGTAAAAGCATGAATTGCATGAATAAAGAAAAATCAATCATTTTTAGAGATATGTCTCCAAAAACAGATATGTGTTGTCATATGATGTGCTAACTTATTGTCATTTACTCTAAAATTTTTCAATTTTTCATTCATATGTTATACATATTAACATCATCATCAACAACATCATCATCAACATCATCATCAACAACAACAACATTATACTATTTTCATCGTCATATCATACTATAAAAAAAATTAGGAATTGATATCAAGTTTGATACTAAAGTATAACGAATACGGCTTTTTGGATCAATTGCACCGAAAATGGTACGGAAGAGTCCATTGTCTCGAGTCTTCGGCATTGACTAAACCCAAGCCTTTAACGGTCAAAGCTGTCGCCGGAGTCTTCCTAATGCTCTTCTTTGGTCTAATTGTCGGAACAATTATTTTACTTATCGAACATTTCTTCTTTAAATATTTTCTTCCGTCGTTAAGAAAAAAACCAAAAGATTGCTTTTGGAAGAGTCCTAACCTTATGTTTTTTAGTCAAGTGAGACATTTATTCGCATTTAATTATTATTACTATTATATATATATATCATTTGACAATTGGCTTAATTTCTAAAATGCATTTATTTATTGATTTTTTTATCAAAAGAAATTATATCGCTTTATAAATACAGTTGAATTGGTTTCACCCCATCATTCAGCCAAAGAAATTATGACTAATCTCAGAGAAGGACAGATTGCAAGTCTTTTTCAAAAAAGTGTTAAACGAGTGAGTCTTTACAAACCTAATCATTTCAAATACCGGTTAAGTTAAACATAAACACACTTTTACTCAATTATGTGTTTTATATACATTTCTAAATCTCTTCAATTATTATTATTTTAACGAATGAATGAAAATATAGTATATGTTTATTAAATATTTAAAAATATTTAAATATATAGAAAGCTAAAGAAGAGGCGAGACGTCGAAAAAGTAAATCACAATTCTTTGAAATGATTCAAGAAGTGAGAAAAGTGTAAGTTTTTCACAAATTTTATTTAATACAAAGTATTAACTACTAATGCATTATTATATACTGTGTTTTATATTTAATGCCTCAAATGTTAGCATATTTTTATTATTTATTAAATTTGTTGAATATAGTGTCCAAAGACAACAACATGAGCGCAGTTTTAATGATTCAATAGAAATTACATCAAAACCATCGATGGTTTCAAATCAAAGTGAAACAATAATAAGTGAAACGGAATCATTGGGAGCGCCGACCACTTATAGGACATCTTCCATTCGCTTTAAAGAAACGGATGATATATACGATGAACACATACTCGTTCACAGAGAACCTCTTCCACCAAATCTTATATTAAAACCAGTCTCAAGTCTAAAGGGTTCCGACTCGAGGACCAAACTTCTTAAAACGAGTCGAACTTCTACTTCAATGACCAGTTCTGGTGATTCTCCATTATATAAGAATCTGATGTCACCATTAATCAGATCCAATCATCGTTTAATACCAAACTCTATGAGTTCTCAGTTTACTACAAGTTTTAGTTTGGAAAATGTATCGTTTATTACAACACCAGAGAAACAAATGGACAAATCAAAGACTAGAAGGAAGATGTGGTCATTTGATGACTTGGATGCCATTAAGCGAGAACTGAGAGAACCTGTATCTCCTCATCAGCGCAATCATTCATCGCTTCTATTGTTTGAGTTGATCCCTAAAAAGAATTCTGTGATCATTGCAAGTCCTCGACATCGCATCGATAACTTAAGGCTGTCATCGATGACCAAAGAGGATGTGCTGTCCATGTGGAGGTCCTCTGAACGGGAACTCCTCAACCATCTTCAAGAAGCTTTGCACCAAAAACGAGCACTTGAAGAGAGGGTAGCGCTTCTACAACGTATGCTTATGAAGCCTCCCTGAGGGCTGTGCTCTTTAGGTGTCTGTATTTGCCACTTATATACCGACAAATTCATTGATTTACAATGCTTTTTGAATCGCTGTTTGAATGTCTTATTAATTCATTCAAATTATTTAACGAGTTTTAAGCTATTTTAACAACATTCGGGTTAATTGAATGATTAATATTGGAGGGAAAACATGAATGAATTATGAAATTGTTTAATAATAAGGGATTGAATTTGAAAAGGTGTTACAATATTTTTTATTTGACATTCAAATTAACTAATTTGTCTTAAATCAATACTATAAACATTTAGTGTATTAATAAAAGCATAATACAATTTTCTTTTTAAATAATATAATAAAGTATTAACTAAAATATAAATCAAACAATTTTAAATTCATAAGTATTTGCATATTAATATAAAATATTTAATTTATAAGTATAAATAATTTAATTAAAATATAATATATATAATTATTTGATTAATTAAGTATATGCAATTTTAAAATAGGAAACTAATGTTAGATAATATAAATTAGAAAACTTGATTTCTATAATTATTTAGTTATTTACATAATTTTGTAAAGATATTGCTTTTTGTAGTTTAATTATATAATATAAATTTAATTTAAAATTTTTTATTTAGTATAATAAAAATTGAATTGATTACACATTTGCATATATATATATATAATATTTTAAATGTTATTAGTTATTAAAGTGTTATAAAGCTTAACAGATATTTATTATTATTTACTTTAAAACGATTTTTGTTACAATTTTAATAGTATGATTAAATGATTAAGTTATAATTAGCTTTTAAATATAAATATAAAAGTTATTTCAAATATTTAACATCTAAACATAAAATTTAACTCAATATTTATTTTTCAAAATTTATAGCTTTAAGCAAAATAAGATTTAATGTTATTTGTTGCAGTAATTCACTGCAATTTTGACTTCTATTGTATACAAAAATAGATTAATTATTGAACTAAATTAAACCGATTACATGTAAAAATTGAAAATTATATAAATAAATCAAAGTGTTCACTGTTTGGCTCTATTGCTGAGTTTGAATATTTTTTGAATAATTGATAAAATTATTAATATTATAAAATGTATATATATTGTTGTTATTAAAATAATAAGCTTTAGTAACACTAAAGCCAATTTGGACGCATTATCTTAACTTTACATTATATTATATAAATGTTTGTTTTGCATTCAATTCAAATAATTATATATTTGTTTGTCAATTTTTATAATATAAATATTTAAGTCAGGGTATACCTACACCATATTATTTATGATATATATCACTTTCATTTACGATTGTTAATTTATCAATATATATAATATGTTATAAAATTATGATTGATTAAGTGAGAATATATATATAACAACATTTATAAATACAATTTATGCTATATAATAAATTATAAGCAAAATAATTAATTTGATTCGGTTGACTTCAAAGTTTCTCATTATGATCATGGTTAATTATAATTGTTATCATTATTATCATTTAATCTGTGTGAGCAATAATAATCTTTATCATAAATACATATTAGTAGTATTTACTACAAATTATTATTCATTGGTTTGTTATTCATTAATAGATATTATCGTTAATTAACTAATTAATTAATTAAATATTATATAAATAATTATTGATAATTGGGCCAAACAAATAACAATTTATAAACATTTTTTAATAAAAAATAATATATAAATTATATATATACTGTATATATTGTATAAATATACAATTGATTATATAATTTATATATTCTTATACTATATACAGTACAGAATATGTACAGAATTATAATATAATAAATTGTATAAATAATATAAAGTACAGTACAGTACAGTACAGTACATAGTTTGCCTTAGAAAATATTGATTGAATTTTATTATATAACAAATAATTATATTAAAGGTTTATATGCAATAAAAATGACTAATATATATATATTATAATTGTCGGGTGCTTTCCATACAAACAACAAAATAACTGTATTTTAATTCAATTGTATTACAATTATATTAACGACAATACAAATAAAATGTCATTTAATTATGTTTATTCATTTTGTTTTGTTTTCAAATAAAAAAAGTAATAAAGTTTTCAAATTATATAAATTATATTTTCTGTTAATTATTTAACAATAATTAATAATAAATATAAATCATAAAAATGTTGATAAATATTGATGTGATTTAAGACATGGATGTCATAAATGGTAACAATTGTTGACATAAGAGAGCGTTAGTATGACTTGAATGACAACACAATTGATTGCAGTGTTTATGAAACGCATGACTTGTATTACATTTGATGATTGATTTGCCGACAATCAGCCAAACAGTGTCCAAATGGTCAACAATTTATTAACAGCCGTAGTATTGGCCGCCGGGAAGGGCTCACGAGTTAATGAGTTGACCACTAGTTGTGCCAAATGTCTGCTACCGGTGGCCAACAAACCCATCATTTATTATCCATTGGAGACATTGATTAGATCCAACTTTAAAGGTTTGTCAACAATTGATAATTGATTTATTTGATCCATTGAATTGGTATTGAAGTCATTGATATTTTCAAACAATAGAAGTGATTGTCGTTGTCTCAGATACTGAGGAAGAAGTTATAAGTAAAGCGTTAAATGATCTCAAAATGAGTATCAATATTATATTAGAGAAGATTCCATACAGTCGTGACTTTGGAACCGCTGATAGTCTTCGGCTAATCAAAGATAAAATTAAAGTATTATTATTCACTTTCAGAAGTTTTTTATATATCTAATAATTTTGTCTTTTGTTACCAAAACCAATGCATCAAAAGAATGATATATTAGTGATGAGTTGTGACACAATTACTGATTTTCCACTCAAGAGACTCATTGATTGGTATCTTATTTATAATCCAACCCTTTTATCACTCATATCATTGATACCACCAAACAATGAAAGTACAGTTCCCGGCCGTAAAGGCCGCGATAAGATTGGTAAGTATTGATAGATATATTAATATATTCGTTGTTTTTGGTTAATTGAATTTGTTTTTGGTTTGTCAGAGAAAGATCTTATTGGAATCGATGCCAATAATGGCGATCGACTGGTGTTTCTTAGCTCTGAAGCAGATTTTGATGAAAGTGTTGAGTTTAGTGTATCGATGTTAAAGAAGTGTGTTTTATAATATTATATGTTATATACTATTGCCTGACATTATAGGATTTCTTTGAGATTATAGAAACATTCTTCAATGTCATAATTTACGATAATTTACGATAAATTATATGATAATTATTTTTGTTTAAACAGATGTCCGCAATTCAGTATCAAAAGTAATTTACTCGACTCTCACATCTATATTCTTAAGAAGTGGACACTTAAATATCTTGAAGATAATAAGTAAATATTAACTTAATTGTCTTATTTTAACATAAAATTTGATTTTTATTTGTAATATGTTTTTAGTAAAATATCTTCTCTGAAAAGTGAATTTTTACCATCACTTGTAAGAAAACAATTTCGAAAACAAATTAAATCTTTTGCCAATAAAAAGACATCATTGAATCCGTCGTCAATTATCTCATCTTCAGCGCTACCACTTAGAAATATTGCTGACTATATCGATATGAATGACATTGAGTTAACCCTAAATAAATTGGAGCCAAATGTGGTGATCAATCAGTTAACAACAGACAAAATGAAAAAAGAAATGCCGAACACATATCCCGAAAGCAAAATAAAATGTTTTGCTTTTTGTTTAAACGAAGGATATTGTATTCGTGCCAATACTCTGTCCGGCTTTTGTGAAGCTAACAGAATGCTATTAAAACAAATGAATACTTCGGATAAGAAACCAATCAAAAGCCAGTCATCGATATCATCGAAATCACAAATCGATGCAATTGTTGGCAACAATAATAAGATTGGCGACAAATGTTCTATAAAAAGATCCATAATTGGCAACAATTGTATTATAGGAGACAAAGTTAAGATTATGAACTCAATTATTATGGATAACGTTGTTATTGAAGAGGGATCTAATATTCAGGGAAGTGTTATTTGTTTGTCGGCTAAAATTCAGAGTAATGTCGAAATTAAAGATTGTGTCATCGCTTCCAACCAAATTGTTCATTCTTTGGGTAACTTTTTTTTTATAAACGTATATTTGAATGGATTATACTGTATTATAATAATTGTTATTTAAATTTACCGGTAATAGCTAAACTAACAAATGAAGTACTTATGGATTTGGATCAAATGATGGAATTGTGATTATTATTTATATATTTTGTGCTAATATTAATTTTACATTATTTACCTCTAATTATAATTACATTTTTATAAATAAATAAATGAATTTTTAAATAGATTTTATTAATTAAACATATATTTAACATTAAGAAGAATTTAGAGAGAAATTTATGTAAATAATAATTCAATTTTTTCAATTAATCATTATTTAGCAATATTTGCATTAAAATTATTATTAGCATCATATTCGACATGAATGTGCTGTTTGGCACTATCATTGGGATCTACTTGAATGGTAACGACATCAGAAACAGTATTACTTTTGATATTATTGTTAAGAGCAATTGGAAGTGCATTTTCGGTGGTTTTGTTTTCATTGCTGTCATTTGACTCATTTCTGACTGATTTGTTTTCATTAATTGGTTTAATACTAACTCTAAAGTTATCTTCAGTCCATTGAACATACTTTTCATATGAGAGCCAAAGCAAGAGTAATAAAGCGCCGGTAAATAATACACAGAAACAAATGGTCGGAACAACTAATATAACTCGTAATGCATTGTGTATTATATTGACTGACATCTTGTAGTCGAGAAATGCCAGATATAAGATGTAATAGAGAAATGAAAAGACAATGAAACCGACGAAGAAAGACACCGACACCTCTTCACGGGAGCAAAAGTATTGACATAAAGTGTAAGACTTCTTAACAATGATTACATTCTTGTATTTACTTTTGCAAACCAAACAATATTCTCTTTGGCTGCGAATGACTTCTTTGGACAGACACCTAAAGTGAACCCATTGTCTGCCATTTACACACTTACAGACATTAACCAATTGATCCAAATGTGATGAATGACGACATAAGTAGCACTTTTCTGACTTTTCGAGTGCAATGGTTTTCATTGCATTTGTATTAATCATTGTGTCATTCATTTTATTTGATGAATTGGCCATAAATTAAGATTTTAATTAACCGAATATTACATTAAAACTAATTTAAAACTAATTTATAATATCGTGAATTTGCATTATATTTATTGTTTGTTAATATTTTTATATCAATATATCATATATTATATTATGGCACTTAGTTTAGTACTATTTTGTTATACTCTACAAACTTATTCGTTACAAATAAATATATATTAAATAATTTTAGTTTAGAAAAAACTTGAAAAATACACAAAATATGAAATACAGTATAGAAAAGTTAAATTATGATAAATATCATAAAATTTTAGTATTTTTGACTATTTTAATATTTTTACCAGTATTTTAGTATTTAACTATTATAGATAGTTACTATAAAATTTTGAAATAATTACAAAAAAGCTTTTAGTAAATCAAATTTTTAAATAAAGTGACCAAATAATAGTCATTTATAAAACAAATATTAACACAAACAATAACAACAACACTGTTATCAAAATATCTATATAATATTGTAATTAACAGGGTTGGAAAAATACAAGGTTTTCAATTTTTGGCTTAGTAAAATACAGTTAAATACAATGTACTGGATGTATTTTACAATTATAGAAAAATTACATTAAAAATGATAAAATATTTATTTTTTTATTAAAATTATTATTATTACAAAACATGTGTTTGTTTGTGAATCTTATTATTTTTGTTACTAGGTGGCGCTAAAATTTTTTTGTAAGCCAAAATTGTCATGTAATTTACATTGTATTATACTGTATAATACGCTTTGTATTATACATACACTTTGTCTCTGCCAACACTGTTAATTAAACTATACATACAATTGACATTTAGTGTAAAGTTGTAAAACTTTATAAATTTCTGATAATATGTTTTTAACAGTTGTCTTAACTAATCAGTTATTGTTAAGAATGTTAATGTGCAGCAAATGTTAATTAATTAATCATTAATTATATCAATTTATTATAAATATATTTGATTTATTAAAATAAATATATAATTTATTCATTAAATAGTAATTTATTATTAAATTTGTTCAGTATTAATTTATAAACATTTGTTTTTAATATTCAAAAATGTATTTTAGGTTTTAATAATAAAATAAAATAACATTTATTAAAGTGGTCGAGGTATACTATACCAACCCACCGTTTTTTATGATGTTATACTATTATATACATAGTAGTTTAAAAATATATAATAATAATATTAATTTAACTCAAAAATTTTTCGAGATATTCGACTTTAAAGTCGAAAACCAAATATTTATTTTTCAATTTTTTAAATCAATTTTAAGTATAATATATATTATATTTATCATTTTAAATAATTTATCATTAATAAATCGCATAAAAATCACAATAATACCATAAAAATGATAAAATTTTTGTTAAAATATCAAATATAATGTAAAAATCACATTTTAATCACATTATAAAAACTGAGATATATATTAGAAATTAATATTTGTTTTATAATTTATTTTTATTTAGCATAATCAATATGCATATTCATATTCTTATAATAATATATAATAATAAAATATGTAAAACATAATTTTACATAATAATGTGATTAAAATGTGATTTTTACATTATATTTGATATTTTAACAAAAAATTTATCATTTTTATGGTATTATTGTGATTTTTATGCGATTTATTAATGATAAATTATTTAAAATGATAAATATAATATATATTATAATTAAAATTGATTTAAAAAATTGAAAAATAAATATTTGGTTTTCGACTTTAAAGTCGAATATCTCGAAAAATTTTTGAGTTAAATTAATATTATTATTATATATTTTTAAACTACTATGTATATAATAGTATAACATCATAAAAAACGGTGGGTTGGTATAGTATACCTCGACCATTAAAGTTTATATATAAAATATATCTCTAATTTAATTTAATGTAATATTCATGCGATGATCAATAGTCAGGTAAATGAACTAAATATAAGACAAATTTTTATATTAGAAATACCGGTATATGTCATGTCATAAATGATTACATGATATACACGTATAATATATAATACATTACTTGGAAAGTGTTATATTTGATGAATTGTGACAATTTGTTGTACAATATCTAAACATAAGTCATGCAATTCAAGCGTTATATTTACTAAATATATCACTTTGTAATAACATTATTATAACAGTAAAGTATAGTATGAAATGTTGTCATTATACTGTCTAAAAGTTATTTAATTGTTACATATTTAATAATAGTGTACTTATCATTTGATTTAATAATTAATTTTATGTTGTGTATAAAATAACATTGTTTACTATATTTTGTTAATTTTATTACAATTAAATCATTTAAAAAAATATTTAATTCAATACAAATTACTGTATAATTAATTGAACAATTTGTCATTCAAATTATAATATATAGTATATATTATATACATTATAAACATTTTTAATACTGTATATCACTACTGTATTACAAATAACTGAATAAAAAATATTTTTACAAATAAAAACCAGTTGAGAATGCTAGAAAGCATTACCAAATCCGTAAATATATTTGTTGTATACACTGTTTAGTATATATACCAGTGTTGGCAGAGACAAAGTGTATGTATAATACAAAGCGTATTTTACAGTATAATACAATGTAAATTAGATGACAATTTTGGCTTACAAAAAAATTTTAGCGCCACCTAGTAACAAAAATACTAAGATTAACAAACAAGCACATGTTTTGTAATAATAATAATTTTTTTTAAATAAAAAAAATTTGAAATTAGCTATTCAATTTAATTCTGGTATTGAAATATATTAATAAAATAATATTAATTTTTAGTAGTTTTAGAAAACAACGATTCTAATAACGATATTAAAATTATATAATTTTAATAAAAAAATAAATATTTTATCATTTTTAGTGTAATTTTTCTATAATTGTAAAATACATCCAGTACATTGTATTTTACAAATCCAAAATTGAAAACCTTGTATTTTTCCAACCTTGATATATACTGTATATTTATCAGATTTATTAAGTATGTGAATATAAAATATATTATATTTATATTTACTTATAATTATTTTAAATGTATTGTCCTATAAATAGTGAACAATAAACACTTAATTTTAACAATGATTTATGAAAAATTTCTGATTGTTTTTAAGGATATTATGTGAATAAACATCAGACTATAAAATATTATCTGATATTTTGTTTTTCATAATTTATTGATTCTTAAACATTAATAAACAAATTTATTAATAATTGACTGATTAAGTAATTGAAATGAACTTCAATTTCCTAAATGTATATATATTTGTTGTTTTATTTATTAAAATAACTTATTATATTATATTCAATAGTTTAACATTATATGTTATCCGCAAACAAAACAATATTTATTACAACAAATATTATACAAGTTTTAATGACCTGACATAACACTTAAGTTAATTGATTGATAGACTCTTTAAATGAGTCACTTGTATTGGAATTTATTGTTTATAATTGATATATAATTATTTGTTTCATTAGTACTTATAAATATATGGTATTACAGTAAATGAGAAAAATAAGTCAATTATTGTATTATAAATTATAATTTATAATACTAATTTTAAGATTAGTAAAACAAACAAAAATAGTTTATCATTAATGTAATATAAAAATAACAAAATAAATATTATTATAAGTGAATATTAGGTCATAAAATTATAAGATATATTGATTGTAGACTTATTAAAACTAAAAAATAATCTTTAAAAAACAATCATTAACTATTATTTTAAAATATATTATTTAATTTTTACTATTATATAAATATATTTATTAATTTTTATCAAGATAATCTAATTAAAATATTAAACACACAAAAATTTTGAAGTTTTCATATTGTCAATAAATTAATGTCAAAAGCAATTTTAATAAATAAATTAATTAATATGTAAAATGTATTAATATTATTAATTATTATTAGAGTTCGATAAACATTCTCAAGAAGGAAAGTTCCTTAAAAATCACTCCAATTTTGCCGGAAAAATATTTTATTTTCCCTCATTTCAATGTTAGAAAAGGTAAATATATTTTATTTTATTCCGATAAATAGTAACAAAACTTAAA